GGGAAAGAGCTGCCTGTCCTGCTTCACTCTCCTTCTCCCTCCCCAGAAGTAACCACTACCCTAACCCTGAAGCTGGTACACACATTCTTCCCACCTATGTTTTCATATTTTTACCACACACACACACGCATAAATATAATATAGTACTGCTTGGCATGTTTAAAAATTTTACACAAATGTTTTACCATGAATACATTTTTGTCAGTAAAGTTTATGTATCTGAGAATTATGCATACAGGAATATGTAGATTTATTCATTTTCATTCCTACATAATGTATTCCACAGGATGAATAATACAAGTTTTTTTTAAAAACCTATTCTTTTGTTGATGGGCATTTAAAAAGTTTACAACTTTTTCAAAATTACACAGAATGCTGTAGTGAGGATCCTTTTACCTCTTTGCACTCATGGGTGAATTTTCAAGGGTTAATATTTGGAGGTGAAATTACTGTTCATAAGATGAATTATGCTGATGTATCTTTTGTGGTTGGACCATGCTTATACTCCTTGAATGGAGCCTACATGGTTATGGCTTTAAAAAAAGCCAGGGAATTTCCAAGGAATCAAGTCACATCCATTATTCCAGACCTAGTTCTTTAGTAGGGATCATTCGATTAAATTCTCTATAAGGCTGCTTCTGGCTAGAAGAATTTGTCATCTTACCACTTTGTAAATTTATCTCTAGTTAGCAAATCTGAAGCAGAATACCTCCACTCGTCACTATGGAGAGCAGGTTTCCATCATCATATATATTAACGGAGTAATTCAACATCTCAGCTGTGCCAAAAGAGCCATATTCCTGGGCCTCTCTGTAATTTCTCAAAACAGTAGATTTACTCAAATCCCCATCTTCATTTGAAGCAATGCAGGCTCTGTAAGATGAGAATAAAGAGTAGGTAATGAAATTTATCTTATTTTCTTACTTTTTAAAACATCACACAATACTGTTTCTCGGATATCTTCTCACCACTCTATCTGCTTTTACCATAACAAACATGGCAATTGCCTGTTTCACGGAGTAGACAGTAAAGATTAGGTAAAATAACTTAACAGGAACCAGCCCTTAAATGAAGTCATCTACAGAGAGCTTTAGGAACTGTCCCTTCACGAAACTCCAGGCACAAGACCATCTATCTGCTTAAGGAATCAGACCAAAGCTTAGCCTCGACCTTTAGAATAGTTTAGGGTGATTCTGACAACACAGTTTAGGCCCTGCTTCCTTCTGATTCTTTTAGAACTGATTTCATGACTCCAACAGCGTAGGTGGGCCCTCGAAGCTAGATGAACTATACGGAGCCTCGGACGCACATTTATAACAGCCTTAGGCAAACATTTGTTTTTCACAAGAAGCATTTTCTACAGTTTTATGGTTGTCCTCCTGTCTGCTCTTTCCTCATTTTATTAACTTTTTAATTTTTAAAATATATATTCCAAACACTTTAGAAGACAGTCTGATGAAAACTAAATCTAAAACAGTCATAAATGAAACGTACGTCATTTAAGGGTCAATATTACGTGTTTAGCTATTAGACCTTTCTGCTTATTTTCTAGATAAGAACAACTGTGTTTTAACAAGCTAAGTACATCAATCACAATCGCTATAATGAATTAATGGAAGCTCACTAGTATAGTGTAGAGAGGACGTTATTATAAATACTAAGGCATACATTTCATTAGCACACTACAAAAGAAGAATTTGGAAATAAGAATCTCTGAAATCATCAGTTTGTTTTTATGTATACTCCAATGTGTGCCTAAAATGATTTACGGCATTTCAAAAAAATACGTACAATATAGCAAGACACAGGAGAATGAACACTTACGGGGAAATTAAGGCATAGAGAAAACAAGCAGCACATCAAATGGAATCAGAGTTGAGGTTAGCAGATAAAACATATGCCAACAAATCTTCCACATCTGCTAGCACCGTTGATGCCAAAAGCAGCACCGTTGATGCCAAAATTTAAGTACCTGGCCAGCCTCCATGCTGGAAATCACTCTCGAGTCGTCCCTTTCCCTCACGCAGCCCATCACACATTAAACGGCTAACAGTTCCTCCATCATTCTCTGGATCTTTCCCCTCTACCCTCAACCCCCTTTCCTACCCTCTGCTCAGCTAACTTGTGCTGACCCTTCAATGACATCTCTCTTGACGCTTCCTAGTCAGGTTCAGATGTTCCCAGGGAGTACTTGCTTCCAGAGTCTGGAGTCCATGGAGCAGCTTCTAGAGAGTCTGCTTGGTACAAAGAAGCTATTTGCCAAATGGTGAAAGAAGGCATCAACATCTTTTAACAACATTCTCACAGCAAATACTGTGACACATTTCACAGAGCACTTCTTATAACCATCATCTACATGGAGGGACTCAACAATTCAAGCACCATATCAAAATATAAATACAAAACTTAGTGACTTCACTAACTCCACAGAGGGCAAATGTGAACATGGTGCAAGGGTATACGCTTCTGAAGGTCTGTTTGGCTTAACTCAAGGGACAGTTGTTAGAAGACAGAGAAGGCCTGTGGACAGGATTAGAGTACGTGTGTGTGAAAAGAATCCACACTTTTCATCAAACTCTCAAAGGAAAACTGAAACGAGGTAAAAAACCACTGAAAAGAAACCAATTAATAGTCTTTCCTTTACATAGTCCTCTATAAATAGTGTTTCTCTAACCAGGTTTTGCTCCCTATTGAGGGATAGTACTTGACACTATGCATCCTGGCAAATACTTGAGTGCAGTCATACTAGGTTACCTGGTTAAGTGCAGAGACAGGGATTTAACAATTAGTAGAATTGTGTCAAAGGGAGGGCAGACCTGACATTCTTGAAACAAAACAGACACTTAAGGTCACTTTACCTCCCCTCAGAAATGGTTGGCATTTCTGACATGAGACATGAGAACACCTGCAGACAGTGCCGAGATTTGCCTTAAGGTGATTCAAGATCTTTAAGATTCGCTTCAAAAAATTCTGGCTCTAACTCTGAGGTGGGGTGGGGGAATCAAAGTCCCATACAATATATAGTATTGTGCAAAAAAAGATTATTTCTAGTAGCACTTGAAAGCATGATTCTGCTGTGTTTTTCATTGATTATACTAACATTTTCTAAAATGTTTTCTAGTTATCACAGATTTCACTTAATATTTGATTAAATTTCATTTCCAACACAAAAATTCTTCAAGATGTCTCAGCATACTGTTGACAAACTATTACACTTATCACTTTCTTTGTCAATTGCCTTAAATACCAAGAAAACTTTCTGGAAACATACAGTGGCCCCCTGGACATCCTAACCCCAAGCCATTCCCCTTAGGACAACATAGTCCACAGTGCTTTCAGCAACTATAAACACTTTAATTGAAACCACCTATTGCTCCACTACCCAATCCCCGCTAACATTAAAGTATTTCCTTAAGTCCTTTTGCGTGTTTTGTAGTAAATTTTCCGTGTACACTGAATTTTATATCTAGTATTTTCCTCACAGTTAACCTTGCCTCCTCTCCCATGACAAAAATCACTGAAGGTTTATGACTGGGAATGACTGTATCGTGTTATACCACGGGGTAGATGTCCCAAAATTTACTGAACCATATGTTTGAGCAACTTTTTAATATTACAAACACTTGATCAAAGCTTCTGCAAAGCTTTTGGAAAAGAACTGTTCACAATGTGTGCACACCTGCACATACACACACACCAAAACATACTACAATACATGGAAAAAAGTTGCATGAATATCAACTATCATCTAGATTGAAATATTGTTATATGCTATTGCCACTTTCAGGCCCAAATGGAGATTTCCTATTCAACTGACAATTTTATATACCCATTATCAAAGATGAGTTATTACCCACATCTGTGAGAGGAAAGCCCCCTTTTAAGTCGGTGCACTATAAACTAAATAACAAGAGACAGCAATTAAATCACCGTATCTTGTTCTGTGTTTGCCACATCTTGGGAAACAATTCTTTGCATATGAGCAGGGACTCAAACTACAAAACAATTTCTGGAAGGGTCCCTGGTTTATTGCGGCGACCCTGAAACATGTACATGCCCAAATATCTGTATTAAGAACATATTCCTGCTTCTACACAGATCGTAATTCAAGAAGACATACCAGCTGACATAAAGGAACACAACTTCAGTGTATGATTCACTGAGAAAGAAGTAGAAAATGTACGTGATAGGTAACTTGGTATAAATCATCATTATTAGTAGTAGTAGAAGCAGCAGATACAGCTTACACTTATCCAGTACCTACTATGTCTAGAAACATCAAATTTACAAAACCCTCTAAGGAGGTATGATTATTATCCCAATTAACAGATGAGGAAATAGGCCTAGAGAGGTGCAGATAAAGCATTCAAACTCACATGCTAGGATTCCGTCTCAGATCTGAGCTCTAACGCTGCTGCCCGCATCACGCTGCCTCGCTTCAACTTAGCTACTAGGTCTCTGTTGGTAAATCTTTACCCAACTTTCCTCCTCTGCCCTTAAAACTTTTATAGTAGTTGCTTTGCAACATCCTCGTGCACTTACTTTCCAAACTGCCCAGCTTCAATCGGGAACATTTCTACATACACCAATCATCAACCTGCTAATATTATTATCTGTTAAATGACTACTACCTGGTTAATGAAATAAGATTCTTTAAAACAGATAAGGGTCAGCTTCCGTGTCTAAAATACTAAGAGGTTCAAAAGGCTTATCTAAAACTACCCAAAAGCCAATTTGGCCCTCAAGTAGCTTTGCTTGGAGATATTAATGTCACATAAACCAAATCTCTGGGCAGTTCTGAGGGTTTAATGTTCTTCAGAGCAGATAAAATGATTTTTAAATGAAGAACTGGAAACACACGGCTTACCCCCAGGTCTCACCATCATGCCACACCAAGCAGTCATATACAGGGCCAGGATCACTGTATTTTTTCTCAAAAGAGTTAAGCAATTCCACTTGACTCTGAAGCTCCTCCTTGATTAGTTTATTTGCCTAAACAATTAGAACAGACGTTTATATTAGCACATTTTGTGCTCTTGAAAAGTGATATTAACATACAACCAAAGACACCAAAGACACAGTGTGATCCAATAGTAAAGTCATTTTACCCTGGAAAAATGTAAGAAAATTTTCTTTTTATATCTGTGCAACTTGTAGTCCAGTTTAGTGGCAATAACAATTAAAATATTAAACAGTAAAAATTACTTCTTTTACTCACTATCATATTCAGTCACTCCCTACAGCTGCTTTGGGAAAGACACGGTGCTACATGGTGGTGCTATCATTTGGCCAAGGGTGTTGGTCACATACCTATAATTGTATAATTCATTTCCAAAAGTAATGCTAAAATTGTTATAAAATAGTTTATCGACTTTCAGATTTTTATATCAGGAACATTTCCATTTCAAATTTGTTTCTTAAGAACCCAAATAAATAACAGGAACCATGAATAGTCTTACCTCTTTTAGAATTCGCTAAGTTAAGTACATACTATGTTCATGACCAAGTACATACAAGCTGCTATTCAACCACTTTCATCTACAAAAACGGAAATTCATATGCTTCAACCTAGGCACTTTTTTAAACTACATACTATACTATATTAGACTGCCCTACATTCACCTGAATAGTCCTCATGAATAAAAATTTAAGTTTCACATGTTCCCAAAATCTGAAGTTGTGCTTCATTTTTATTTATCCAATATATTCAACATTTACTCCTCCTTAAGGAAAAAGACAATTATATAAACAATTCTGGCATACAATATAAAAAGGGTAATTAAATTCAGATCCCACTTCTATAAAGTTAGTTGTCTATATGTAGCACCTGAAATACTACATTTCACATCTCCAATAGGAGGCTGAAGAACAAATCTTGATCTAATAGAAAATTATACAGCTGTTAAAAAAGGATGATGTACACAGATTAATAAAAGTTAAATGTGTACGTAGATCTATACAGGCCAGTGGTCCCTGACCCAAGCTGCATGTTAATTAAAGCTCCTGAAGAGTTTTAAAAATGCTTGCCTCCCCTGCAAGGTTTTGATTTAATTCCTCTCTAGGGCAAAAGCACTGACAGTTTTTAAAGCTCCTGATGTGACTCTAATATGCAGCTAGGGCTGAGAACCACTAATACAATTGCATTTCTGATTAAGAAATGCATGCCACTAGAAGCCTAAATAGACATTTCTCCAAAGAAGACACACGGATGGCCAACAGGCATGTGAAAAGATGCTTAGTATCACTAATTATCAGAGAAATGCAAATCAAAACTACAAAGAGGTTATCACCTCACACTGGTCAGAATGGCCATCACCAAAAAGTCTACAAATAATAAATGCTGGAGAGGGTGTGGAGAAAAGGGAACCCTCTTACACTGTTGGTGGGAATGTAAACTGGTGCAGCCACTATGGAAAACAGTATGGAGATTCCTTAAAAAACTAAAGATAGAGCTACCATATGATCCAGCAATCCCACTCCAGGGCATATACCTGGAAAAGACAAAAACTCCAATTTGAAAAGATACATGCACCCCAGAGGTCATAGCAACACTATTTACAATAGCCAAGACAAGGAAGCAACCTAAATGTCCATCAACAGATGAATGGATAAAGAAAATGTGGTACATATATACAATGGAATATTACTCAGCCATAAAAAGGAACGAAATAATGTCATTTGCAGCAACATGGATGAACCTAGAGATTATCATACTAAGTAAATCAGAAAGAGAAAGACAAATACTATATGATATACTTACATATGGAAATCTAAAAAAATGATACAAATGAACTTACTGACATACCAGAAAAGACTCACAGACACAGAAAACAAATTTATGGTGACCAAAGGCGGAAGGCAGGAGGGACAAATTAGGAATTTGGGATTAACAGATACACACTATCACACATTAAATAGATAAACAAGGACCTACTGTATAGCACAGGGAACTACATTCAATATCTTGTAATAATCTATAATGGGAAAGAATCTGAAAAAGAATATATATATATATATGTATGTGTAACTGAATCACTTTGCTGTACACCTAAAACATTATAAATCAACTATACTTCAATAAAAAAATTCATTAGAAGAAAAGAAATGCATGCATTAAAAGAAAAATTCAGAAGGACGAATGTCAGGTTGCTGTTACCATCCCTGGGCGGTGGCATTTCAGAGGCTTTCACTTGCTAAACTTTACATACCTGTGTTGCCCGAAAGTTTCTGCAGCTAGCACTCATTATTTTCATACTAAACCAAGAATTATTTTCATTTTATAAACTGATTCACAAAAGTGTAACGGCAAGGATGTTGAACAATGGGAGCTCTCGTATGCTTCCTGTGGAACTGGTACGATCACTTTATAACCCATCAAAAGACAAGCACAAGAATTTTCAAAATAGGATTTTTCATAATAGCCAAAAACTGAAAACAAAGCAAGTATCAATCTGCAGAATGGATACATAAATCGTGGCCCATCAATTATATAGCAAGGAAAGTAAACTACTGCAACACCCCACACATGGAGGAATCTCACAAAAAACATCAAACGAAAGCAGCTACGCACAGAACATACACTGTATGATTCCATTTTACAAAATTCAGAACAGGTTAAAGCCGTTCGATAAGTGTCGGAAATCAGGATGGTGGCTGCTTTGGGGAGGAAGCAGCAGTGAGTAGGAAGAGGCAAGAGAGGGGCTGGGGTGCTGCATATATGGGGTGCTCACTTTGTGACAATTCATGACAATACACTTAGGAGTTATGCACTTGTACGTGTGTGTATTCTATGTTTGTTAAGAACTTTTAAACAACTGATAGACACATATGTAAACTGACTTCAGGAAAAATAAGCAAAGAAAAATTAGTAAAAGTAAACAACATAAAACTTGTGAAAAAGAGTCTATTAATTCTCTAAGAACTCTTAATTCTCTGAGAACATGGTAACGTTTAAATAAAAGCGACTAGCACCAACTTGGGAAGGGCAATTGTTGGCAACATCGAATTCTTCCTGCTTTCGACAGGCTTCTGCAAGGGCGACTCTGTGAACAGGGTCCCAAATTTTTTCCTTCCGTTCTTTCTGCAAAGACAGAAAAATGACTTTCCAATGAGGGTGACAAATACTCAGGTAAACCTAGATAGTCATTTACAGTTGTTATGAGCTGGGATGCTATACAATTCTCCTATAAAGGTTAAAAAAATCATTTATAATCAAGCGGATAAAGCAATGGATCAGTTATAAAAAACTGATTAGCTAACTCACCACATCTAGGTTTTAAGAGAACAAGTTTACCAAGGCACGACCAAATGTATTTTTACACATCATATGTCCCAATTTAAATCCTTCCCTTCTCCAAGAATAACTAATACCATGTCAGGTAACTGACTGAAATCCCAGTCATTTGAAGAAAACGTTTATTTTGAACCCTTACAGAATTGGGAAATGCCTTCAGCCAAGAGCAAGCAGAAGACAGGAGTAAGAGTGCCTGCAGTTGCATTTTGATGGACCTGCCCGCTTCCTCAATCTCCTTCCTCTCTAGCCTGTTTTTTTTCCCCACCCTCTTGATAGAGGATCCGCTTTAATTTAACCACTCTATTTGTATGTTAATTTGTACCTTAACACGGTTGATTAAATTTAATATAGTGCATAAAAATACTATGCATTTCAGCCTGAAATTTTAAAATAAAATAGTACCCAATAAAAGTTGAGTTAAGTGCATTTGTATTTTGTATTTTTTTTTCCCAGAATGATTGGAATCTGACAAATAAGTCAAGGTTATATATGTAAAGTACTGAGTAACCCCTGGAGAAGCAAATCACAATACTAGATTAGATAAAAGGGCCCACAGGTCTTACCTGTGAGGCCCCTCTGCAAGGATCACATCTTGTTTTATAGTTGAAATCTGTATGGGATACTAGTGTCAGCAGTCCTCTAAAGCAGCACTGTCCAATACGGCAGCCACTAGCCACATGCTATTAAAACTTAAATTTTAAAATATTACATAAAATTAAAATTTCATTTCCTTAATCATACTAGCCACATTTCAAGTTCTCAACAGCTATTTGTGGCTCATGGCCACCATGATGCACGGATAATGAACATTTCAAACCTTTCCACCGTCACTGAAAGGTCTATTGCGTTGTCTTTTTTATTTATTTATTTATTTTGTGGTACGCAGGCCTCTCACTGCTGTGGCCTCTCCCGTTGCGGAGCACAGGCTCCGGGCGCGCAGGCTCAGCGGCCATGGCTCACGGGCCCAGCCGCTCTGCGGCATGTGGGATCTTCGTGGACTGGGGCACAAACCCTTGTCCCCTGCATCGGCAGGCACTCTCTCAACCACTGCGCCACCAGGGAAGCCCTATGGCATTGTCTTAAAGCAGGCTCCTTCTCTTTCAATTCACAGTTCTTCTCTCTCTAATGATAGACTGTGTTTCCTATCCTTCAGCTGCTTTAGGTCTGAGTAATTCTTTCCCTAATACTGAATAAGGACTGTGTTCAAGAAAGCTAGGTAAAGACTAAGAAAATGGGACAAATTCCCATAGAAACAATAGGAAAGGGAATAAATAGGGCAATCCACTTTAAATCAATCGACTGTCTTTAACTTCTCTGAAGTTAAAAAAAAGTCCTTCAAAAATCCAATGAAAGCATATCCCATCTCCCAGAAAAACACAAATACACAAAATTTGAATATAATTTCAAGGTACTCACAGATTCCCTAAACTTATCCATGTATCCAAGATTAAGAACCATGAATGGGTGACATTCCATTGAACAGAATCTTGCTTTAAGCAGTCACCATTTGAAAGCCTCCCAGACCCCCCAAACAATTAAGTTAGTGAGATTTTAGGAAATGTTTTTCTTCAGTATGAATAAAATTTGAGGAAGAAAAGAAGTCACTGATGCTAGATGGCACGTTACCTGTATTCTTTCCTTGAGAGCCTTTGGATAGAAATCATAGCCGTTTTTTATGCCAATGTGGTATCTGCCTGAGGGATTTGTCCAGCTCGCAGGAATCTATAAAAAATAAAAAGTAAATTTCTCACTCACTAAATGCTTCCCAATTCTAATAAAATAGCACTGGGGAAAAAGGTATTCGAATGGCTCAACTTGGATGAGCAGGCTCATATGTTAGAGCAACATTTTTAATATTCTAAGTTGCCACTTAATATCTCTCTGGCTCTTTTTTTTTTTTTTTTTTAATGCGGTACGGGGGCCTCTCACTGTTGTGGCTTCTCCTGTTGCGGAGCACAGGCTCCGGATGCGCAGGCTCAGCGGCCATGGCTCATGGGCCCAGCCGCTACGCGGCATGTGGGATCTTCCCAGACTGGGGCACGAACCCATGTCCCCTGCATCAGCAGGCAGACTCTCAACCACTGCGCCACCAGGGAAGCCCTGGCTCTTTTTTTTTCATCAATGAGATGGTTTAAGGAGAGTATCTTTCATTTACACAATGCTTTATAAAGTGCTTTCAACATCACATTAAACCACTAAGACCTTCAATTCCCAAGCATCAAGGACACCTCACCTCCCCCTTCACCACTCCATTGCCCATCAACCAGGGGGGAGGGAAGCCACTTACAGAACCTCTCCACCCTTAGATTTCCCATTAAGAAAAAGAACTTCACTCTTT